GATATAAGGATGAGGTACTGTGCGACGTGGTTCCCATGCATGCTGGACATTTACTTTTGGGGAGACCATGGCAATATGATAGGAGAGTAACACATGATGGATTCAAAAATCGCTATTCATTTGTCATGGAAGGAAAAACAATTACTCTTGCACCATTGAGTCCAAGGCAAGTTTATGAGGATCAACTGAGAGTAAAAAGAGAGAGTGAGCTAAGAAATGAAAGTGAGCTTGAGGGTATGAAAAACAAAGAGAAAACAGTAGAAAAAGAGTCCAAAAAGAGAGAAAAGATTGAGAGTGTTGAAAACAAAGAGAGAAAATCAATGAGTGTTTATGCAAAAGAAAGTGATGTCAAGGCTGCGTTCTTTGCAAAGCAGCCTATGTTTGTGCTTCTATATAAAGATGCTTATTTCAACACTAACGAACTTAATGATTCTTTGCCTAGTGTTGTTAAATCTCTTTTGCAGGACTTCAAGGATGTATTTCCAGATGACGTTCCTAATGGTTTACCACCAATAAGAGGAATCGAGCATCAAATTGACTTCATTCCTGGTGCAACAATTCCAAACCGACCAGCATATCGAAGCAATCCCAATGAGACGAAAGAACTTCAAAGGCAGGTCGAAGAACTCATGAAAAAGGGAAATGTGAGAGAAAGCATGAGTCCATGTGTAGTTCCAGTGCTACTTGTGCCTAAGAATGATGGGAATTGTCGTGCGGTCAACAAAATCACTGTAAAGTATCGTCATCCTATTCCTAGATTAGATGACATGTTAGATGAGTTGCATGGTTCTTGTATATTCTCTAAAATTGATTTAAAGAGCGGATATTATCAGATTAGGATGAAGGAAGGAGATGAATGGAAAACAGCCTTTAAAACGAAACATGGTCTATATGAATGGTTAGTTATGCCATTTGGATTAACTAATGCACCTAGTACATTCATGCGATTAATGAATCATGTTTTGCGTTCTTTCATTGGCAAATTTGTGATTGTTTATTTTGATGACATTCTGATATATAGCAAGAGTTTAATTGAACATATTGAGCATGTGCGAATGGTACTAGAGGTGTTGAGAAAAGAAAAGTTGTTTGCTAACCTTAAAAAGAGTTCCTTTTGCACAAATTAGATTGTTTTTTTAAGGTGTGTTGTTTCAGCTGATGGAATCGCAGCAGATGAAGAAAAGGTTAAGGCAATTAAAGAATGGCCAACACTTAAAAATATTTCTGAGGTGTGGAGTTTCATGGTTTGGCGAGTTTCTACCGGAGATTCATCAAGGATTTCAGCACAATTGCAGCAACATTAACTGAAATTGTGAAAAAAAGTGTTGGATTTAAGTGGGAAAGTGAACAGGAGAATGCTTTCAATTTAATTAAGGAAAATTTAATTTCTGCACCATTACTTGCTTTACCTGATTTTACTAAAACTTTTGAAATCGAATGTGATGCATCAGGTATTGGCATTGGTGCTGTTTTGACGCAAGAACGGCGACCTATTGCATTTTTCAGTGAAAAATTGACTGGTATAGCACTTAACTATCCTACTTATGACAAGGAGATGTATGCATTGGTAAGAGCTTTAGAGACATGGCAGCATTATCTTTGGCCTAAGGAGTTCGTGATACATACTGATCATGAGTCGTTGAAGCACCTGAAGGGACAAGGT